TTTCCTCTCACGGTTTTTTCTAATTTGTAATTGTTCAGCTGACCATATTCAAGTATGTACCAACTAGCTCAAGTAAAACCTGTAGTACTGGTTAATGTCAGCTTGTAAATTCAAGACATTGGAAGCGTTAGTAACTTCTCGGTAAATAACACAATCATCAATAGATAAACTAATTGAGGAAGATATCGAATTCGGCAAATCATTAATATAGATAAGGAACAATAGCGGAACAAATACAAAACCTTGTGGTACCCCAGAATTGACGGAGGCGTGTGGTGATGTTTCATCGTTAGTGGTCACAAACTGAAAACGATTAGTGAGAAAACAGGTTATCCAGCACAGAACATTTGTGTCAATGTTAAGTCTGTTAAGTTTTAAAAGCAGCAGCTTTAGTGAAACTTTAACGAATGCTTTGTAAAAGCCTCGAAAAATGCAGTCTTCCTGGGACCCTCGGTCAAGTGCTAGGTGCAAGTCATGGGTGAATGACAAGAGTTGCATTTGGCAAGAAAAGGACTTACGAAAGCCATACTGAGCGGTGCTGAAGAAAAGGTTAGATTCTAAAAATTGAACTAGTTGTGAGTAGATGATACGCTCTTGTATCTTGCATGGAATGCTAGCAAGCGAAGTCGGTCGATCGTTATCTGGGCAATATTTATCACCTCCTTTGTGGAGTGGCACCACCTTCCCTATCTTCCAATCAGCAGGCAATTAACCCTCCAAGTGGAAGCGGCTGGAAAGAAATTTGAGATAATATCAAAGAGCAATACGTTTTTGTGTTCTTGAGGAACTTTGAGTTAATGCTGCCGGTGCCAGCAGAGGATGAAAGTTTTAAGTTACGAATTATTTTAACAATACCAATAGGATTCACAAAAACGGGCACCATGGGCAAAAAATCACTCGCGTCAAATCCACGAGTAGGCGTGTTAATAACAGTCTGCAAGGACCTAATAAAAAAATCATTCAAAACGCGAGCACATTCATCGCTAAAAATAATATCTCCGTTCCCGGCCTAGAGTGAAATTACGAATTTTTCTTTTTTGCTAGCAACAATCAAAAACTACTTTGGGTTAGTGGCTAAAACATAGACGGTAGCTTAACGTTAAAAATACTCGTATTTCGCATCTTGAATAGCATTTTTGTAAACTGCATTGGCGTTGTGATAAGACTCCCACCAATTACAGGTACTGGAAGATTTAGCAGCACGAAACAATCTCTTTTTCTTGTTCGATAGCCTTCTCAGTGATGGGTTATACCACGGTGATTGAGGGTGAAATGTTAGAGATCGCCGTGGAATATACTTGTCGGTGAGGACGGCGACTTGTCCCTTAAAAATATTCCAGTTCTGCTCAACAGAACGCTGGGAAAAGTCAACCCAACAGTGATCTATGAACTGATTGAGGGCATCGTTTATAGCATCGAAATTAGCATTTTGGTAGTCTAGAATAAGTTTCATCTTTTTTCTACTATTACACTTTTGGTATGCTTGGAGAGACAAGTAACCAGCAGTTATCATTTAGTCCTCGTAGGTGAGATATTAGAGATACAAGGTCAGGTGTGGAGTTTAGAACAAGGTCAAGAACATTCGCTGATGTGGCTGCAATTATAGTGGGTTCTGTAACTAGCTGCGATAAGTTAAAATCGGAACACATGTTCGAAAAATCAAAACACTCCGACGAAAATGAATTAGGAAACGGGCTCTCGTGCGACCAACATATGTTTGGGTAATTAAAATCACCTATATCGATGTGTATATATTATATATATATACATTCCTTGGGATGAGACCCTAAATTAACAATTAACCTTTTGCTCGATTCTTTTTCCTAAAATTAATAATCCCTAGTCCAGGCGTTCTTAGCACAGCCCCATCAACCGTCTCGGCCAATGCGCATCGCAAATTTTGGGAGACTGTACACTTTTTTTCACCTGGCCATCATCATCTTGATTGTCGGAACTTCCAATGGGCGGAAATATCCCTTTCCTTTCGCCATGCCAAGTGTTCACCTACCTATATCTTCCTTTTTTTTTGTTTCTTTTTTACTTTTTGTAGGTTGAACTTTAAAGTACCTCATTTTCGTCGACCATATTCAACCGGCATACCCTAGCTGGTAATGAAAGCAAAGGAAAAAAAAAGTCTATACGGTTGGCCTCAATTCAGCTACAGATACGTTCACTTTATATATATAAAAAAGAAAAATTGATGCCAAGGCTGGCGCCAATGAAAGTGAGCGTCAACCTACTAAATTTGAAACGTCTCTGATAAGTACACTCTATTAAAAATAAATATATTTATAGCGCAATTTTTGTCAAGCGACCTTGCCACCGGCGCAATTATTTCTCTTTGTAAACGACGTGGAAGTCATAACGTAACTACGTATTATTGGTTTTCGCCCTTTTGGTGGCGCTTTCGCATATTCTTAATCACTTGTAACGAAACAAGAAAAAAAATTAAAAAAACAGCATAACTTCGCTACTTCATAACAGAAGTAGCGAACTCTTTTTGTGGAACGATGGCTCCCCGCGTCATTCAAAACGTGAAGTGAAAAGTAAGGTATAACGCAAAGAAACGTACAACGTAAATCGAAAACTACCAATATCACGAAATATCCGAATTGAATTTCGAGGTCTCAATCGCAACATTAAATTCTGAATGTAAATTTCACGGTATAATATGTGATTTGATTTTTCTTATTTTTCATTTTGTGCCTTTTCGTCGATTACGTTTGCTTTTCTTTATTTACCTTTATCGGATATTTAAACTGTGCAAATATCAAATGTGTTACTATTGTACCTATGTTTAACAATTGTTACTGTATAGCTACTGTATGTCATACAATGTGTTTTAGTCATCGCTGGCTTTATACGGGTGTCTTGAAGGGTTGTTCACGAAAGACACGCTTTTTGATGTGATTCACGGCATTCGCTCAGCGAAATCAAATGTTTTACCTCCAGTCCCAATCCACTTTAAAAAAAATCCTATTTTTTGGGGGGGGGGGGGGGGCGGGGGGGGGGGGGGTGCGTGGAAGGGGATTTTTGCTGCTGCCTTTAGACAACGCCTTCGAACGTGCTCGTGACAGAGGGCAGGATGTGGCCACCCACACGTTCTGCTGGGTGTCGTCAAGGCCTTCGTTGTTGTTTTCAGTCCCCATCCCCCCGTAGAGAAGGGGAGCAGAAAAAATCGAGGAGGTGAAGATAAAAGCCGTGCTCTCTTGCATGGTTAAGGCTTTCACTTTCAGTTCTTAAAGAAAGTAATTGACTTACTGAGTATCGGCGTCGAGAGTAATTATTTTAAAGTACAAACTACTCAATTGGAGAGTAATTGAGTGAACTTCTTACCACCTTGTAAAAGTAGCAAAGCATTTTTGACGTTACGTTTCATATTTTTTCACGGCAGAACAAAGTACAGATATTTTGATTCGTTAGCAAAACCACGCTAGCTAATAGAAAAAACAGCTATTTTTGGCTTGTGTTTTGACGAAAGTGCTTTATAAGCGGCACGCAACGTCTTGCACTGAAAGTTCTCGTCCGTGGGTTCTGCCTCTCTGTGCGCAATGTCCTGTCCTTTTTGTTTTTTCTCGTAGATTGCGAGCTGCGCATGTACAGCTTCTGCCTAAAGGTCTTGGACTGTCTTAGGCTTGTTCTGTAGATAGCGTTTGCGTGTTTATTATTTTTAATGTAAAAACGTTTTAATTAATTCTGCCGTTTTTTCCCCCAATTTTTGAATTAGCTAAACTAATGAGTTTTGGGAAGGAAAATCAACGCAAAAGGAAAAGACATTTCACGTCGCCTTTAAGCGCGCGATTGTTCAAGCACAATCCAGAGGAGTACCGCACGAGCTTCGGGATGGTTGCATCAGTTTTTTTTGGGGAGAGGATGCTGCGTGTAATGGAAACACATCTTATGTGTGACCTTGCTGATAGAGCTCTAGAGCACTGCGCAAAGTAAGGCACCGTTCACACATTTGCAACCGAGTAGGACCAAGAGAGCCAAGACGGGTTTTTAAGCCTCTTGCGACGGTGTACGTGGGACCTGGTCCGCAGCATCGCTTCTGGTCTTATGCCGTCGCAGGAAGCTTCAAATCGGTTTTGTTGCTCTCCGTGCTACTCGGTTGCAAGTATGTGAACGGCGTCTTTAGACTCAAGTCAGTACTGTCGTTAGTGTTGCCTGGTGTCGACTTAAGGCTGAGCTGTATGCGTGATCGGCCTACACCTAAGTATGCCGTGTGCACCGGAATAATGAGCACGTGAAACATCATGATTAGAGTCCTCGCAAACGTCCATTTTAATGCGACAGCATTATTAAACTACTCATCACAAATTTCTGGGTATCTGTCCTCTCATGTTCCCCGCAAAATTTAGCGAAAATTTATATCACGTGACTTGTGTACTAATTCAGGTTCCCCGGTAAAGTGATCAAAAATATTGGCGTCACGTGACCTATGTACCAATTCAGATTCTAGCTAAATTTAGCGAAAAAATTGACGTAACGAGACCTACGCACCAATTCAGCTTCCCCGCAAAATTTAGCGAAAACATTGACGTCACGACCTATGAACCCATCCATTTCCCCGCTAGCGAAGAAATTTATATCACGCGATCTATGGACCAAGTCAAGTTCCCCGCTGAATCCAGCAGAAGAATTAACTTCACAACCAATCAACCAATGCACCAGTTCAGTTTCCAGGCTCAATTGTTCTTGGCGTAGTCCATGGCCTCGTAACAAAAGAAGGACGTAAACATAACGAATACTGTCGTAATTCATAGACAAACAACAATAGTAGTTCCTGCAGCCATTTTTGTCTTCCCTTTTGTCTAATCGAATTCCGAATTTCATCATATTCGCTGAAATCCTTGCATGGTTCGCGGTAAGCGACCGTCACTGTGTACTGCAAAAAAGAGAAAGGGAACTTTCATACTTTTTTTTTTAGAGGGCAGCCTATACTAGTAACTCTGCCCCACGCCCGCGATTTATCTGATTGTGGTCTTCCTCCGGTCATCCAGGTTACGTCTGCGTCCCAAGCAGCTCAACAATGTGGCGACGAGAGAGAAGGCAGTGACGCTGCTCAAAGACCAGAAGCTCTCCATGCCCATCGGGATCGCACCCACGGCCTTCCAGAAGATGGCTCATCCAGACGGGGAGATGGCCACCGCAAGAGGTGAATCTCGCGTACCGGGCGTTTAAACTCAACTGTACAGCCACACTGAAAGCCTTAGAAGCGTGGGACATGGCGGGTGCCCCCCAGCATCTTAATGTCTCTCCACAGTCAACGAGATTGTGGTAGTATGCAATGCGAACACCAAAAAAATGAATCACAAAACGAGAAACGTCATCGTGCATGCAGGTCATGCCCTGCCCCTCTAAAGCTCTTGAGTGACTGAGGGCTGAAAGGAACACTGGAACAAAAATTTAGTCTAATATTTACGCCGCCAGACGCATTTTAGGAAGAGGTAGCACTGTTCTAGGCCCCGTCGATAAAAAAAAAAAAGGAGGGTAGCTATAGCTACGCCTCTTTTCTCGGCTCTCGTTCGTTGGAGAAATTATTGACACATTAAACGTTCATTGCAATTTCTGCGTGCAGCGTTAGTCTTTCATTCAATATATGTTTTATGTTTCAGAAACAAAACTATATAATAGAGTTCTTTTTGTTGTCGAAAATATCACGAGATCGTCTTTTGCGCTTCGGTTTCAAACGAGAATAAACAGGGCAGCCGGCGTTTCAAGCGAGCAGTTTCTGACACCGCCGTAACACGTTTAGTCATTCTACTCTTTTGATGAGCCGGAGTGGTTTCGCGTTTGCCGAGATATACAGATCTCAACCGACGCAGTTTGCAGTAAACGACTTTCGCAAGTACTCGCCTTCGGAAGCGTTGTGCGGGTGCTTGGTTTCCCAGTGGTACTGGCGTAGGCCTAGCGTCCCACGTCAACTATTTTGAATCTGCTTGATTTGTCTTTCTTGCATTTTGAGGCCGAGTAAAACTGTCGATTCCCGTAAAACCGGGCCGCTATACTGAGATTCGTGCAGCCGTTGGGATTGACGTCAGAAATAATACTAAAGAAGAATGGTGCTCGCCACCGATGCTTCGTCGTTTAGGTATGAAGAAGTTGAATGCGTTCAGTGATTTCTTTTAAGACACTATCACATATATAAAACAGGCTAGTTTAATAGGTAGTCCTGAAGTCGAGCCTACAATACCTTTTGCAGATTTTTTATTTCCTTCAGGAACAAGTGCTCTTTCTCTTCACCCAAAGAAACAGGAATGGATATTGATCCCTTATAGGTAAATTTCAAGTGGTACCGGAGTGGGTCCTCGGCTGTGACACTTCTAAAGTAGGCGCTACTCACTGACGGTTCTCAAAATCAAGCAAAAACAATAGTGAATTGGAAGTAACAAACTGCCCCGCGAAGTTTGGCCATTATTTGGTTTTGTTTACCTCCGCTACCCTGTATATCACTCTGGACCAGTCTGGTGACTGTATGACCATACAAACTGGCGGAAAGAACAGATAGCGAAATTGGCTTACATTTCGTACCTTTTATCTTTCCCTAATGAACGCCACCTTGGCTCACCATGTCACTTTCGAATGCTGCGCACATCACGCGCTGTCTGCAGCCATCGAATGTGAGTGCAAGGGCAGAAAAAAGGGGAAGGACAGCTGAGAAATCATTGGCTCCGATAACATGGAACAAAAATGAACACTGTATTCCGTATTTTTACTTACTCTTTTACCGAACATGTTCAGAAGTTAAAATCTTTCGCGATATGTACTATATGAAAGTGTGGACTATAAACACAGGATTTCTTTTTTTAACTTAAGGTGGTTCATATTAACGAGTCGTGACGGGTTTTGAGAATGGTAGTATACGTTAATATTAAACGATGCGTCACCCAAAGCTTTTTCGTGAGCTATTAAAGCAGGATTATGCCGAAGTGTAGAATATGCGAACGTTTTACGCGTGGACAATGAATCACATCCGGACTATCTAACGAATTTATTTTTAGAAACCCAATTTGCTTATGCGGATTATACATGCTAGTGAGGCAAATACGGCATATAGGAACTTCCCCAAACCTCCTGTTAGAAGCACGTAACCAATTAAACAACCCCGGAAATATTCCTGGAAACAAAAGTCGATAACTGATGGAATGTCAAACATGCGCTGTAGCATGATGATAGAAAAATTAGCGTGTAGTCCCGTACCACTGCATGAACCACGAATAAAACTTTCATTATATCAGGCTACTCTGTGATAAAGATAAAAGCTCGGTTTCCTTTTATTTTACAACGGAATACAAATTCAATTAGAAAGTAGAAAAAACATATGTAATCATATTGTAAGTGTGGGTAGGTATAGGTTCACTAACGAGTAATTAGAAATATTCGATTGTCAGATTTGACGCAACAAATAAGGTCTGCGTTTTTATTGGCAGGCTTCAAATGTTTATGCTAGCAGAGTTTAATATTGAATTCTTCATGCTCTCCCTAAATAATATTTTCTTGCAATTTACCGATTAATATAAAACTAGAGTAATAACATCCTTCTAACAAAGCAATGAAGATAAATGAACCATCATCCCCCCCCCTTATTTATGTTGCCTTTCCGTAGGGTGTAATTAGTGTGTTCTTTATATGTAAAACATAAGGACCTCAGGCTCTAAAACGGTGCGGAAAAATCGGCCCTCGCACATAAACATCTCGAACTTTCAATGAATGCACACCGAAACTTTCATTTTTACCTTCTTAAATTTCAATGCCTCTATATATATTTCTTCCTTTTTTTTTTCAATGAGCCTACCAAATTTGTCTGAATCAACGGCGGACGTGTTCGCGGTTGATTAAGGCATCTATGAACGTAACTTAAGACGCCATGTCCAATTTTGGCGCAGCGAGCAGACGAGGCACTCGTTTGCCGCTCGCTGAATATACGATTTTTATTTGCAATTTTTGACTGATGCCTTTCCTTCGATAATTTAACGGAACAAACGAACCACATAGGCCCCCCCCCCCCCCTATTAATAAAAATGTTTGTTTTAGCGTGTGAATATTACTATATATTTAAGCGAGTTAAGGTAAATCTGACCTGCAAAGTATAAATATTTGAAATTAAACGTGCTGAGACGCCATCATCGTTGTCCACTGCTGTTGTGTTTTCTTCAACGGCTTAGGAGGTGAACGGACTATCTAGCATACCCTGCATGAATACTTTCAGTTGAACATGCTTGAATGCTATATATAACCACTGTTCATTATACTTTGTTGTGTTCCGCGGCAGCGAATGCGAATACGCTATCTGACCTACAGTGCGTAAATACATTATTCAGATGGTGTACCCACCATCTGATCTCACCAATGGGCATGATAGTTTGCAATCTTCAGCTGCAGAGAAAGCAAACATTCTAGCTGGCCTACCCTGCACCAAATACTTTAAATGTAACATTCTGACACGCTATAACATAAGTTAAAAAATCCCGGGAAAGCAGCGCCAAGCTACTCGTATGTTCAGCATATTGGTTCTTGGGATGAGCAGTTTCTCCTAGAGCTCTACAGTTTTAGTGAGTCGATTCAAATTCGTGGTGACATAATTATTTTTGAAGACATTTCCTGCACAAGATTTTACTATCCATACACTAGCGAAACTAGAGCACATCTTCACACCACCACTAGAAAGTACGTAGGCGCTTTGCGGCAATATAAAATAATTTTCCTGTCATCAAATACGCAGGAAGAACGGTGTATTCGTAAGACACTTGAGGAGATGAACCAAACTGATAAGTTCAATGCACGTACAGTGCTAATTACGTTTATGTTGGAAAGAAACGCCTTCGCTACGATGACGCGCCATCGCGATCTAGGCAGAGTTGTTAAGAACGACCCTTTCGGAGATTCAAAAGACAAAAATGTCGATTGCCATGGTAAAAGATACCGATTAGCAAATGGCTTTCAGAAGGGAGAGGAGGGGGGAGGGTCGTTTGTATGTAAGTAACTGTTCGTGTTCTGCTAGAACTCAGGGAAGCCAGCGGTGCTACTTTCCCAAAATCGTGTGACTTTAGCCATGACCACTGCTCACGATTTTGTTGTGTCCCTAGCGGCCCAGAAAGCGAACACACTGATGATCCTGAGCACGCTGAGTAACACCACAATGGAGGACGTGGCTGCTGCAGCTCCGGGAGGACTGCGCTGGTTCCAGCTGTACGTGTACAAGGACCGAGACATCACCAAAGACCTGGTGAAGCGTGCAGAGAATTCCGGCTACAAGGCACTTGTTGTCACCGTCGACACACCCCTGTTTGGGAACAGAATCGCAGACGTCAAGAACAACTTCACATTGCCGGATGGTCTGACGTAAGCCACTGCTTTCCAAATCTTTCCTTGGCGTACTTTAAGTCTCAAGTTTATGGTTCGAAAGAAGCAGCTTCTAAGGGACGTTTATGAGCGTAGATATTGACCCCCCAGAAATAAAATCGGCAGCAAAAAGTGTTAAAAGTAGAGGGCCTCAATGTTGCTGGGCTGGCGTCCCTCCCAAAGTGGTTACAACTCCGTCGTCTGCACTCGTATCCACCCTGTCGCCTCTCACTCTATGCGGTCGTTTATGACCTGTTTACTCAGGTACTGAGCATTACCATTTGTGAAGTGACCTGGAGTAACTTCAAGAACACGCAAGTCACGCGTTCCGGCATGTATGCGTCTGCTCTTGGCGCCGGTAAGAAGGGATGGGGCAACATGGTGGCCGCCGTGACGAGAAGGCGCTTCCTTTCCCAATAAATATCACCGCTTTAGCAAGACGCCGCCAGCAGGTTAAATATCAGCAGCATAGATAAGGCCAAGCTAAAATGCCCTCATCTACGTTGGGAACGAAAAAGACCGAAACGAAGAAACGAAAATAAGAACGACTCTCATATCTACAAAACTCGCTGGGGAAAAAAATATAGTTTTACCGACCCGCCATTTTGGATACTGAAAGGTTTTTGAATGGAAATCAAGTTACCTAATATCAATATAAATATTATTACTAATTATTATGAGTCAAAGTTCCGAGTTCAGAATAACAATTATAATGGGTAGCTACATAAGGGCAGCTGCATTTGCCTCTACCAAAGTGTTTCACTTCAATCATAGCCAAAAAGTTTCATTTGCTCTTTGCCCACGGTCTAGTGTTCGGTGATCGGCATTCGAACGTTACACCCTGCGAATTGGTATTCGACGTTTGAAAACCATTACCTGCTCGAGGGAAAGGCGACGCTCCCGTTCAACCTCATTGGAGGGATACAGTGGGTAAAGACAAGGGCCTTTGCATCGACCCACTAATCCTTTCAATCAAAGCTCGGCACTCTGGAGTCACCGCATGTACTGATCTCCTCTCCTTCGGTATGTATTTGTATAGTCTAGCGTTGTCTATTTACGTGTATAAAAAATATTCGAGTTCAATCAGCGACCAGAAACAAACAAACAAAAATTGATTTCAGAATGCCGGTTTGTTTCGACTGGTTCCAGTGTGGCCAACCTGGAAGGCGTTGGCGGAAGCCTGGATCCGTCGTCCGGGTCAGGGCTCGCTGCATACGGCGAAAAACTCTTGGATCCTTCCTTGACGTGGAACGACATCAAATGGCTCAGGAGCATCACCAACCTTAAAGTTATCGCAAAAGGAGTGCTAACCGGTGAGGCAGAAACTTTTTTTTTACTTCTTTATTTGCATTTTTGTGTCCCCCCAAAAAAAGAAATGTATTGTATTTTGTTCTTGTTTTATTGCAAAATTAAGTCCATATCCAAACAAATGTGGCGCCAACGGGTTTGTGCCAGATGCTGAATTATCAGAGCTTGCCATTATCAATTATAAAAGTGTAAGCGATTTCAAAGAAACATTCCGTGTGAAAACGGACCTCGGTTTCTGAAGACTACGCCGTTCATCTTCATGTGTTTGTTAGCTTCGTTGACCGCGGTTTTCAAAAAGGCGATTTCGGAAAAAACGCGGCACTTCTTACCATAATTTCGATGCGCTACGTCACTCCCATGTACTGAGCATGAGGGGCCCCATAAAAGGAACGAGCGGCTTATTTTTGTTTAGCGTCTTGCGATTTCAAAATGCAAAGATACCAGGATAATAACAAAACGAGGTACCAATCGGCTTTTCAACGTGTTCGCTCTTTCTTCTTTGTGCTCTGAGCTCGCAGTGGTAAGGGGAAAGGATGTGTGCCGCTTCCAGGTTGTACAAAGCGTCCGAGCTCGCCAACGGCTTACATCAAAACGGCCCCACATTTCCTCGCGCCGCGCGGTGCAATCTGTCATTTGCGAGAAGCCTTGTGGGATTTTATAGGAAAAGTCTATCGATTAACAGGAAAATATTACTCTGCCCAACAGTGGTGAAAACCAGACCGACTTCGATTAATAAAGTAAAATAAAAGCACTTTTCACACGGGTATTTATTTAGCCACGCAGTTGCAAAGACGACTACAGCGTTATGTGATTTGATTGTCTTTTAAATGAGCAAAGAAACGCAAGTTGAGCAGTAGTAGCAACGCAGAATGACGTGGAAACACACCAGAGAGGCAGCATTCTTTGCCTCGCTTGTCTCTGGTTGACAAAGCTGATGCCCCAACAAAGCGGATTCTATACCCCCGGTGGCCAGACTAGGCCTTGAAGCGTGCCTGTTTTGCAAATGTGTCCAAGCATCGGAATGAATGCTTATCATTTCACTTTGGTTTGCCACAGCCGAAGATGCGAGGAATGCTGTCAACAGCGGTGTTTCTGGCATCCTCGTCTCCAACCATGGTGCTCGGCAACTGGACGGAGTAACATCCACAGTACGTTCCTCAAAGCCAGTTCTCGAATCGGTGCAGCGGAAAATTATTTGCTTTGGTTATCCATTTGCAACCTTTGCGGCGTCGGTGTATCGTTTTCTCCCATCAAACTAGGCGCACAAGTGGATGATCGGGACGAAGCACTAGTGCGCCTTTAGGCTTTAAGACATTAAACTAAAACTTATTTTTTTTAATGAGGGCGGTCGTTTAGGGGAAGTGTTTATTTTTAGAAGTAATAAAAACATAAACTGTAGCTTGTACAATGTTAATCACAGTTAGTAGGAACACGGGAGCCCGTGGCATCGGTGGCGCTGCAGTTTAATTCCGGGTCCTTAGAGGGCTCCGATGGTACCCAGTGCCACGCGCTCCCGTGTTCCCGCTTACTAAAAGTACCGAAACAAAAGGTGTTAAGATTACATAGAGATGTAGTACCCGAGTTGAACATTTTGACTGCGTGTGATGGAAGTGCCGTTGATGTCTACAGGGCTATAGCAACTGCACACTTCATGCCTATGTTAGTTCAACAGATTCCACGTTCCCAGGACTTTGTCTGCATCACGAAACAAGTGTAGTCATTTTGTTCACCTTATAAACTAACTATTTTCTGTCCCCACACACCTGCTCTGCTTAGCTCACGTAATAAATGAAGAACTGCTCTGCGGTGATCAGTCGATAAAATATCTGGCTGGCTATTACTTGGTTGCAGACGTAACCAAAAAAAGTAACGCAGTACGTTCCTTCTAATTGCAAAATAAAGGGACGCGTTACCGACCCCCGTTCCCTCAAAATAATAGGAACGCGCCATTATTGCCTTCATTGATCAAAAGTAACGCAGGTTACTTTTGCGTTACTTTTTATTCACTAATCGACGGTAACATCTTTTTGCGAAAGCGTTTTTCGACGTTTGGACAAAGGGCGTGGGCTTTCCGGTTTTTCTAAAATAGGACCTTTTCCGTAGGGAAAAGATGGTAAAACATTTGAAGGTACAGGAAATGCGTGTAGTAATTAATGACTTCGCGCCTATACTTCGCTTCAGCTTAACTCCAAACACAGCCGACGCTACAAGCGTATAGGGCAAGTCAAGCAGAGTCAAAAGCGCGAGTCACTGGGTCTTTTCTTTATGATCGGTTTTAAGATGATAGAAGACGTACAGATGCATGATGAACACCATGATGGTGCCCTTTTACCGTTATCTGATTCGTCCCATCAGCTCGCAGCGTGGGCTGCGTCTGGACTTAAGCAACGTTACTAGAACACTCAGTTGGGAAACTCACCGTTGAAACGTGGGCCGCTGGCTTCCACCGAGACCGAGCTAAATACGACAACAGCGCCACCCTTTAACATCTGTCTTTAATGTAGTCACCTTGAGCTTTTAGAAAGCATGTTTTTGCGTAACAACCAACGGGAAAAAACTCTTTTCGTAGTAACTTTTATTGGAGTTTAGCACAAATTGAGGGCGCGTGACGTTTTCTAAAATCTTTAGTTTGTAAGGTTTTGCGGCAAAATTAATATTGTTTTTATACAACCATGCCTCAGCGGTGATTTCAGGTAGCGCGTACCGACGTAGATACATCTTAGCTTCGGTAGTAATTCGAGACGCCCTCGTTGGGCAGACGGGGGTGGCGCCCCTGTGACTTCTACTACCGTATCTGTCTCGGCGCCATAATGGCCGATTAAAGCCAAAATATAAGTCATGCGCAGTTCCTCGAGTGGCCGCTGCGGGAAAAATGGCGGCGTTGTGATCGCCAGTAGCTCGGTTCCGGTGGACGAGTCGGTGCAATTTTTTTAAGAGCAGTTTCTATGTCAGTGTCCCAACTGAGTGGTTTAGTAGCGTTGACTTAAGGTGAAACGAAGTATAGAAACACGAACAACGTAAGTGTGCTTTTTTTCAGGTCTCGGGAAGATGTAACGAGTAACGTAACTACGTTACCCGTTATATGAAATAAGCGACGTAAGTACGTTACCCGCTACTATTTTGAAAATGTAACGGGTACGTTACTACGTTACCAAAAAGCAACACGCTACCGGTAACGTCGTTATTTGTTACGCGTTCCCGCCAGCGCTGCTTGGTACCAAGTCTAGTCCCCGTCGGGAGTATTCTCGTATTCGTGTTTTCATAATGGCCCCTATAGGGGCCATTATGAAAACACGAATACGAGAATACTCCCATACGGGCCTACATACGAGTGAGGTTGGAGTGTTGCTTATTTAAAATAAATATAAACACAATGTTAAAAACTTGATAGTCTGGGCTCAAAGCTACCTGCGCGATCTCCATGCATTAATTGCACCTACAGTAAACGTGCACCCCCTCCTTGAAAATGGTTCTCTTAGCTTCGGAGCTTTTATGCAAGCTTTCTTTAGAGCGATGATATTCTATGTAGTACCAGATGCCCCCAAAAAAACACGCTCTCGAGAAAAATACAAAAAATAACCTTCAAGAAAGTGCCGCCGTAGAACTGTTAATGCCATGAACTTGTGCCAGGAGACGTGCTTGCTCGCGCTCAGGAACAAAAAAAGAAACAAAAGCATCAGGAACAAAGTGGTCAGATGTCATCACCATAAGCAAAGCGCACATTAAGGCACTCTGCTCTAACCAACATATCCTAACGCTCGCGCCAGGTACTACGCAACTATCTCCTCATTATTGTTAGCGATCAAGAGATTTTAATCAGAAAAGAATGCAAAAGCTCGTAGGTGGCCTTCGACCCCGGCTGCTCCCAGACAGAAGTTGCTATACGGTCCCTGGAGAATGCCCGAGCCCCCAAGACGGGGCCTCTCTGTCATGAAACCCGACCCCCGCGTGCGTGCCCGCAAGCAACAGCTTCGGAGGCGACCGCCCTCGCCCACGGGGGAGGCACTCACTTGATCGAATGACGTTTTAGCGAACGCCCACGTTTCACCGAACGACACTTTAGCAAATAGTCGGACGCCGCGAAGCGGCGTTTTCGGGTGGGCCAAGTGGCTCCATATTTTTGTAATGAGCTGCCGCAGACTGTCGCCGGCGAAGCGGCGTAAAGCGCAGCGCGGCGGATGGGTTAACGCGCGCCCCCGTTATTCGCTAAAACGTCCATTCGCTCAAATGTTGCTGTTCGCTAAAATGTCATTCGCTCTTGTGATAGGGACCCCGCCCACGGAGAAGGGCATTCCATCGGACGACGCCAAGCGACGCACAGCACCGCTCTAGAACTGTAACCTTTATATAATCGCCCATTTGTGTATACCTCAAAGTTTAAATCAAACAAACAGTTTAATCCAACCTCATCGTAATTTGTTCAACCTAATCGCTAACACTATATTGTTCATATAAATGAGTATGCAAAAAAAAAAAAAAGAAGACATCACAAGTTTAGGCGTCGAACAACCTGCTTTTACGTGTTTTTTTCTTTTTTGATTGTGCATTTGTTGCGTGTGGAAATTAGTTCTGTCGAACTCACCGAGCCAGAGGTTCACAACCCTTCCTGAGATCTACCACATCGGTTTCGGTGGTTGCGCAGATCGAGGCCCTGCCAGAGATCATCAGAGCAGTTCGAGGCCGGGTCGAGGTGTACCTGGACGGAGGCATTCGTCACGGCACCGACGCCATCAAGGCCCTCGCCCTTGGAGCCAAAGCCGTCTTCGTGGGACGCCCGGCACTCTGGGGGCTGGCGTATAATGTAAGATATGCTCTACCATAGCCTCCTCTATACTCACGAAACCTGGCAGTTCGACGACGGAGCCATAGAGTGCCCGGTCGTAGATTTTGAGCGCGAGGATACGGTAGCACAGATCACGAAAAAGCCGCTTCTCTGGGAACCGTAAGCCCCTCTATCCTGGGAAAAGTGGTGCCATTCATTGTTGTGGAAATACTCGAGACACGTGCCACGTGCCAGCTCTGGGAAGAACGTGGCGTCTGAAATCCAACTCAGTGCTGCGCTGTGGCGTCATGATCTTTCCAAGGGCTGCAGGCTGCACGTGCCTCGTGCACCAACGCGCCTTGCGCTACTTTTAGTACATGAAGGGGCTTTACGGGAACCTAAAGTTCCTGCATAGGCTCCCTACGAGAGCCAGAGTTGCGCGTCTGTTTTCCAAGTGCCGCCGCGCCGCTATAGGGAGTATTCACTGGCGGCCATAGCTGTGTGCGCGGATGCTGAGCGCTTGCTGATGGCGACTTCCACAGTTCTTTTGGAACGTGCATTCCGCACCATCAAGAGTGCCGGTCTTAGCAGCCTATTGATGTGAACTCGTTTTGAGCAAGCACTCTAAACAGCACCCACAAATATGGCGTCCAGTGAATACTCCCTATTCGCCGAGATCCGATTACGTGAAGAGCCGGATCAAGTGCCGTGCAGGAAAGTAGACCTTGCACACGCCCCGGCGTACGTTCCCCTGCTTTTGAGCGCGCCGCGCGCCTCGAACGCGCGGTGCCGCTATTCGCCGAATTCAGTCACGTTACGAGTGGGGTCAATGTGCCGTGCAGGAAACACGGCGTACGGAGATAAACGCGCAACTTTGGCTCCCGTAGGGAGCCTATACAGGAACTCTAGGGGAACCTGGACGTCAGCGCACAGCTTTTGCAGCGGCGAGGACCCGAAACACACTTGTTCGCTCGGGAAAAGTGTGTTTCGCCGTCTCGCCGCAGCGGGGTGCCAGTCACTTGTCTATCCTCTCATCCGTTGTCTGCCGCTCCAGCTTGTCCGTTTCGGCGGCCGCTTTTCGTGGCGATCTGCCAGGCTTTGTCACTATATAGTAGGAGGCTATGGCTGTACCAAGGACTCACTATAGTCGCGGGCAGTGCGAGAACGAAAGGACGTCTCTGGCCGATGCCTAGCTTTTAGCACGCGCCTGGTGCCTTCCGTCGTGCTTTGGAAGCGCCTGCACGCTCAAGGCTCACGGGACACCGAAGGGATATCGAACGCGGAAAGCTCGCGCTGGAGGTGCGATCAATGAAGGACCTTTCAGCTGTCCTAAATCTGCCAGTGATGATAGTCACAGCGGTCAAAAGTAAGCACTCTCTGTTTTATTGGGGCCTAAAGTTCCCGGTACTGTTGGAGACTACTGGACCTCACTGCCTATTGCTCCCATGGTTACTCGTGTGTTCCTGTGTCTCCCTCAGCAGTTCTGTGTACTGGTTAACCAAAGTAACAAAAATTGTTAAGTGGTCATGAAAAAAAAATGAAAAAAAGATATGCCAGAAACGACAATGTTGATGTCTAATTAAGCAACTAGCTCAAGACATAGCTGAAAGAAATGGGTCAGGTCGCGTGTTATTTTCCCCGCTAAGTTTAGCGGGTAAAATTAATTTGGGCGCAAGACACGTGACATCAGGCCGTGTGACGTCAGTTTCACGCAAAAGTTAGCGGAGAAACTGAATTGGTGTTTATGTCACATAATATGAAATCATGTGACATCATTTTTTTCCCGGTAAATTTAGTGATGAACTGAATTGGTGTTGATGTCATGTGACGTCAAGTTTCCCGCTAAATTTCGTGGGGAAACTCAATTTGCGAACAGGTCACGTGACATCTTGATACGTCATTTTCGTCGCTAAATTAGGCGGTGAAACTAAATTTGTTATAGGTCACGTGGTGTAAATTCACGTAACGTCACTTCCCCCTTAAATGTAAAGCTAAAACTAGATTGGTGTTGCGACGTTATTTTTTACGCAAAATCTAGCTGGGAAACTGCAATTTTGTATATCTCACGTGACGTTGTGTCACGTGACGTTAATTCTTTATGAAACTTAGTGACGAAACTGGGAAACTGAATGTGTGTATAGGTCCCGTGACATAGAGTTACGTGACTTCATTTTTTCCGTTAAATTTAGCGGGCAAAATGTGCGGTCAGAAACATATTTCAAAGTGGCCTGAAGATCCTCAAAAGCTGATCGCTTTAAAATGATTTATATGCGGAGACGTGATGGAGAAGGGGCGGGGATCAGAAAGTTTCGTCATGTCAGAGTGAAAATATTTTATTAGAAAGATAGTGTGTAGACTCATTGGCTGCATCTTTCTCTACGCACTGACTCTCTCAAATCAGGGGGAACAAGAGCGTCATGTATACTCGTCGCGCAGGCTCTGCCGTTCGAACGCCAGGCCTTGTCTGAGCAGCAGACGACATACTGGTTCGCTTCGATTTGAGAGGAAACGGGTAGAGATATAGGCAGCTAGCCTTTGCGTTTCTTCATTATACCGCCAATCAGAGCATTGTCTTATGTTCTCCTCTCTTTTAGTTTTGCTTCATATAGAAATCTCAAATTTATTTTTTACTCCGTTTGTTAGTGAACATCCTCAATAAAAAAATTCGTGCTGGCAAATACTGGCCTGATCGACCCTTGGGTAAGCACACTTCTCCACATGTCTCTGCGAACAACTTGCGCTCCAATATCTTTTCACAGGGGGAAGATGGCGTGACCCAGATGCTCGAGATATTGAGAAAGGAGTTGGATCTGGGAATGGCACTTATCGGTAAGTGAGGCTTACGCCTCATGTCTGGCTCACACTTGGGGAAGACGCACTTGCCGCCGACCGAATTCGCTCGCCGAAGAAACGCTTCCCACTGTAGTAAGGTAGTGAGCTGGGCTAGTTGGTTTGCATTAAACAAGACGATAGGCTGCGCACAAATTCAGTCTATCCGCTAAACTGAATTTGTTTTCTCTTCCGTTCTCTTCTCACATTGTGGTTTCTGTCTATTTGTGCGCGGTCTATCATCATGCTCATTACTTGTTGACGCCCGCCGAGCACGCGCGACGCCACGCCCTTTCGCGGGTACGACGAGACTTTACGCTACAATCTCTCGAGACTGGTTCACACACACTTTCATATGAATGGGTCCAATGCCACCTAGACGTCTAGGCCTAAGCCCCTCTCAACCATTTCTGGCAGCGCGTGTTGTAGAGTCTCACAGATTGTTACCACATAAAACCTTAATATATGAACAGCCCGCAAGGTCATCTCGATTCACTGGCTGACTCGCCTTAACCGCATACCCCAAGCTGCGAAACTCCGGCAACGGTTTTCCCTAGAATCGGAAGAACACGGCGACCTTATCTTGCATATCATATCGTCACATATTCCCCATAACTAGACGCGGAACCGCTGGCACGCTTGGCACGGGCTGTTGTATTTCTACCGTTGTGTGGCTCTCCTGAGCAAATAAAAACAATATTATTATAATTAATTTATTATTTCAAACGTTACATATTGCCGCGCGCGCAGCTAGCCAAGTAGGCAGCGCGGCCGTGGCCTAAAGGTTATCGTGCCTGCCTCCACGCAAACTGCCAGGGTCCGATTCATGGGAGCGACGCGTCTTTTGTTTATCCTCGCAATTTAGTGTTCTAGTAAATTCAAGAATCCTGTTGCTTGTTCGAGGTGCGAATGTTCTCGTCGCGGAACCTTCTAGGCCGATTGTTCCAGGGGGCTCCGCATGGCGATCTTCGGTCAGTTTCGCCCCAGCGTTCGACTCTGCTGTCACGCCGACTTCGACGCCCACGACGCTCTGCTTTCTTCTGTTCCCCTTCTTTTTAATTTTTGGGCACAAGTTCGCCCCGTTGAACGTTTAGTTTCTTCAGTTATTATCGCCTCATCAATTGTCATTTGTGACAATATGCGCACGCAATACCGAGCTCGTCTTTTCGTATCGCGAAAGCCGACATGCGCGCGACCGCGCATATTTGCGCGATTCATGTGCCGCTCAGCTGGTACGCGGGTTCTCGCAGTGCTTTCTTTCAGCCTGGCTTTGCGCAGACGCGGTGCTTTCTGGCAAGGGGTCCTTGATCAGCAGTAAACAGTAAGAGTGAATGGGGAAGAATACAACACTGCGGGCGAACGGGCCGAAGCAGGGAAAGCCCTTTCAGATAGATTGTGTGTTTTCGGGGTTCTTTTTTTTCCGTTAAATTCGAAGCTGTTCTTCGGAGTTCACATTTTGCCAATAATTCGGAGTTTATAGGAGTTTATATTTTTACATTTCGAATTCTCTGAAATTCGAATTTTAATTTCGCTCTCTTCGTATTACCAGGTTTGGGCGAACGCAGACTTGTTTGTAAACGGTGTTTGGTCCATAGCCTCCTTGACACTTTTCCCAAATTTATCCGAACTGCAGATTGAGACGGTACGCTTTCTGTACACCGTTTCACATTATGATAGAGCGCGGAGGACGCTACAAGCCACAGAAGCCAATCGAGTGACGCGACACTGTCCCGTGACCGTTGAAAAGGGCCCAGCGTCGCACGGGCAGCGAGTCACGTGACGCCTACGAAGCGATGGATAGTCGGCGATGTCTTGTGGCGTTCCCTTGGTCCAACTTAAGGTGAAGCGTAATGTTGTGAGTCGTTTTCTGACTGCTTTCTTTTTGTGCTCGTTGCTCTCCGCAGGAGCACCGAAAATAGCCGAACTACGGCCGGAAATGGTTGCTCGTCAAGAAACCTACGCCAGACTCTGATTGCATCCTCAAGAGCGGAGATTCAAGCTACCACGATTTGGCGAAGCATTGACAACGGGTGTCGTCAGGAAGACTTAGCCTAAGAGAAAGGAATGCTTTTCTATGCATATTCCCACCGCTTATTACCGAGGTAAAAAAAAAAAAAAAGCGAGGCGTTTCATATTTTATGCAAGAGTACTGCTCACGCTCGGAACATCCGTAGCCCAGTAGTCAACGATGGCAGCACACAGAAGGTGGTTATTAGAATGGTTTATAGTGTGACTGACATCTGACAAATGCAGGACGTGACTCATTATTTTCACACTTCTTGACTCCACGTTTATGGCGTCCCTGTCTTAAAGGACAAAGCCCGCACGACCCCTTTCCCCCTCTTCCCAAACCCCAAACCCTATCACTAGTTGATCCACGCAACGCTGCCTCGCTTGCATTAGCATCGCCGCCAGGCCATCGCTCAGCATCTCACAGTTACTGCCTCAATCTCATTGGCTGTGGAGCAACATTAAGATGCTGGCGAGCCTCAACACACTCTTCGCTAATTAATGCGAGAGCATTAGCTATCCTGTAGAGCAAACCAGTGTTGTACAATAGCCTCCTCTATACTCACGAAGCCGGGCAGTTCGACGACGGAGCCATAGAGTGCCCGGTCGCAATCTTGAGCACGAGGATCTGGTAGCACGGAGCATCAAAGAGCAATTTCTCGGGGAACCTGGACGTCAGCGCACAGCTTTTCCAGCGGCGAGGACCCGAAACACACTTGTTCGCTCGGGAGAGGTGTGTTTCGGCGTCTCGCCGCAGCGGGCCGCCGGTCACGTGGCACTCCTCTGATCCGTTCTGTGCCGCTCCACCGACCTTTTCCATATCGCCGGCCGCTTCTCGTGGCGATCAGCCAGGTTTTGTCGTATATAGGAGTCTATGGTTGTACACGTTCCTCGAAAAAAGGAACGAAATATCGTTTCTCTTTCCTTTGTATTTATGGGACGAATGCCCGTTACAACCCAATCAGCACAAATTTTGGCCAAGAATTAGCCATGGACTAGCGATGGTCAATGGCCAAAGAGTGGCCATTCATGAGTAAATGATTGGCCGATGGCTGATGGCCAGTGGCCATTGGCCAATATCCAGGGAAAGTCCAGTCATCAGCCAATGGCTGGCCACTGCCTGGCCACTGGCCAAAGGACCATTTCCAGCCACTCGATAATAACAGGCCAAATCTGTGCTGTTTGGGAAGTTACATTTGTGAAAACGAAACTCGTCCCCGTTACAGTTAAACAAATTGAACGTGTCGTTACATGTACGTTACATTTGTATTTTGCTCATTACCAAATTTAATAGGTGGAGGAAGTTTTTTTTTAACTATTCTAATATTGAAAACATAGAATTTTGAATGCCGTGATGGAAGAGCACCAGGAGAAGACAACCAGCGGAAGCATGGTTTATTTTGTTAATATATTTACCAATAAACATCAAAGCTTTTAACCATATTCATGTTTGTTGTGGGCGATTCATTCGGGCCGAATGTATTGTTACCCCACATTGCACGAGCGTTTTACGACAACCTCACACGTTTCAATCTAACAAAATTCCTTGTTCGAACTTAACAACAATTGCTTCTCGATGTTTCTCTCCGCAATACGAGCAGGTGAAGAAGAGGGTAGGAATTTTGAAAGATCAGTCTTGAACTGCAAGTCCTTCTTTACGAAGGCTGGATCCACTGTTCAGTTGGAGGTGGGGGACAAGGATAGGAATAAGAAAGGTTAATTTTTGTGTATCTTTTAAGTGACCAATATTCGGTATACATTGGTGTGTTCGATGTCTGGTAACCTGTTCTTTTGTTGTTGAAGTTTAGTGCTAGCTGCAGTCGGCCTTAACGTTTTGGGTGTATGAGAATTCGTGGACGCAAGGAAGGTATCTGATTTGGAAACGTTCCTCTTTTTCTGTCTTTTTCTGGGACTAACATATTTTGCTTTTTGAATCGCAGTCTCAAGCACTGACAAAACAATCGACGTCCATTAGCTCTCCATCACCCGACTGTAGCAGAGCGAAGACCACACGAAATAAACCCCAAGATGAGTAAGCAAAAAAGCAAAAAGTTAACGATATCCTGCTCTTCGTAACGATATTGTTTTTATACTTTTCGAATTTCCCTCATAAATAAGAATACCCCACTGGTCGACTAAAAGGAACGACGTTCTTTTTCCGTTCCGGTGAAAAAGTAACGATTTCCCGTTCCAGCTCCATTAATGCAAAATAAAACAGCGGCTTTTTTTTCATTTCTCCTAAAGGGAACCCATTCCAGGAACGGGGTTCCTTGGAACGCTGTTACATACAACACTGGAGCGAACAATCGTTATCAGCTTTTAAAGCCGCGCGGCCAATGGTTACCTAAATTCCCCTGTCGCAATGAAGCGAAGCCTGTAGTATGTGACAGCGATCTGATGGATAGGCTCCCATTGGCCGGCACGCGTCAAAGTTTCAAGGAACGCCACCCCATGGCGCTGCGGGCCTGCTAAGGCAGCGCGCCGGTAAAAGGAACTCGGTGGCGCGCGCTCGGCCGCTAGTACTCCTCTGGATGCCGACGAACATCGCGGCACCTCAAGCATCTACATCATCGGCGGGTGCAACCTCGGCAGTGGCGAAACCTGCCCGCACACACAAGTACACTTCAGACGTACTAAGGGAGCGGAATAACGCAGCACAACGAGCGACGACACAGTCATCGAAATCCACCATCGTTGTCAAGTCTCCGAATACACGGCAGGCGGAACGAGTAGTGGCGCAAGGCGCTAGGAGACACAATAAAGCCTTTAGAGAGCGTGAAGCTCAAGCGGATCGCGATTCAAAACGTCTCAGGTGGCAAGAAGACGGGGCCCTTCGACAACGCGAGGCGGAAGCAATACGCGGCAGGCGGCATGCTTTCGCATTCTCAACTGAAAAGTGCTTAGGTGTACTCGGACTTTTTATGTGTTTTTTCGTTTGTTTTTCTTTTACATGTCAAAAAATGCTATAAGCTAATATTCCACGGAGTTCAGATGTCAGGAATACAGATCTCAATTTCAGTTTGAAAGCGTGCAATCCTGTTTAACAATACCCCCTAATACCAGCTATTTGTCCGTCCGCTCGTCGGTGTTTTTTTCCCGCCGATAGTAGCGGGCCAATTGATTTCCCGCCACGTGACCACGCCGTATGACCTCATGGTGTCACGTGACATGACACCTCGAAGCGGCGACGTCAGTTTCCCCCATGCTAAATTTAGCTGGCAGATTGACGTCGCTCGAGTTCAAGTCACAGGACGTGGTTACGTCGCGCAACGTCAAACGGCGTCGTTTCACCGCTAAAATTTTTTTGGGAGATTGACACGGCCTGGCGTCATGGCATGGCGTGATACGAGGAGGTAACACCAAGACTTTACTCTTCCGTCTACATTGAACGCGTAAATCGACATAGCGTCGCCTGACGTAATGCTACGTCACAGTTGAAAGACTCGTGTCTCACCCTACCCCGACGTCACGTCACGTCAGTTTCCGGGACCTTCATCTCTCCTCGCTAAATTTAGGAGGGGGGAGGGGGGGACAATTAATGAGCGATACGTGCTTCACTCCACGAAACGACTGCTTAGTCCTATCTTAACAGACCTAAACGATCGATCCGTAAATGCTGTCTTCCATGCATTGCGGGACTTGAAAGGTAAAGGCCGCCGGTAATAGGCCCCCTTCAAAAACCAATCAAGCAGCACTGGCGGTCGGCATTTCTTTGGCACAAAGCCTGTGATTGTTTGCGAGTCCACACTGGACGCTGCCGTAGTAGAGGTTCTCCTAAGGAGCTGAACCGACTTCACGCCTAAAGCGCGATCCAAACCAACGCTTCTTTTTGCGGCTGTAGGTCGTGCGCGCCCCGGATGTGACGTATTTCGTGACGTTTTTGCTGTTTCCGGCGCGCTTTGGTTTGGACTAGTGCCACTAAATAAGCTACGGTTCAAAGTAACGACACTTGGCCATATTGTGTCTTAAAATCATGGTTGCCAGTTATCTGAAGCTTTATCTGAAATCACAGGAAATGTTTTTCCGCTCTCCACAAATGTTTAAACCGTTCGCGACAGAGCAAAGCAATATTACATGAGCTTTCTAACACCGAATCAAATGCTGAGGAAGTCGCACTTTTGAATCATGACGATCGGCAGTTGCGTCTGCTCTGCATACGAGCCAAAATGGCGGCGCCCACAACAATGTCAGGGAACGGAGTGCCGATACTCTAAGCGCAGCTTATTTAGTGACTCTAGTTTGGACGGGCCAGCTTCGGGCAAGCGCGCACGCGCGCACGCAGGCACGAGCGCACTCTGGCGGTCACCTTCCTCGCGTCGGAAACGGGGGGAAAATTCATAGACACAGCCATACTCGCAAGCAAGCAAAGTGCAACTGCGACAGACTGGCCGGCCAGACGGCGAGAGAGAGAGAGAGAGATCGCGTTGTTGAGAAACGCGGAGCCGGAACTAGCTTGCCCTCCACCGATTGGCTGGGACACAGGAGCGCCCTACTACGTCACGGCGCGTTGAGAAAGAAGTTGAACTCAACCAACTTTTTTGTGCGCGCCCGGAAGGAGCGAAGAACCGGCGCGACGTCACGAAATCCGTCACATCCGGGGCGCGCACGACCTACAGCCGCAAAAAGAAGCGTTGGTTTGGATCGCGCTTAACACTGACGCAGCCTTCGCTTACAACACACCACCATGATGGTGATGGTAATGATTATGGTGGGGCATATGCTCAAAGTATTTGCCCAAACATCGGTGGACTTGGATGTTTGCCACAGCAGCTCCTAGGTGGCGCGAACTTCTGAAAGGGTGTTATTCGTGATAGATGGTAACTACTTCTGGTTTTTGCAAATCGTTCACTGTTTGTTTGTTATTGTTTTCGTTGTGTTTCACACGTCTGTTGAATTACTCAATCACCTTATTACTACTCACACAGGTACGGCTTTCAAGATATTCTTTCTTATTTTCAGAAGTTACATCAGAAGGAAAATAAAGCTTTGTTACAGTATTCAGGGAAAAAGCTTGGTCTCCGTCTCACTGTAACTCGGCAAACAGAGAATGCTACTGTCCAAGCGAGCCGAACACCGTGTCGGAGGGAAATACGTGACTACTCTATCTCACTAGACTCGTTTTCACCTAAAAAACGAAAGTCTTTAAGCTAGTTCATATGCCGCGTGAACTACACTCTAAGAAAAAATGGAGGAAAGAAGTAGCAACGGCGCGTCTTCCTCCCTTCTACCGACGCGCCCCCAAGCGAACACGAAAAAAGGGGAGGA